TGTAGAAAAACCAGGTGAGGGGAGGGAGGCCAGCAGGGGAACTCAGAGTGACAGGGGAGGAGGGCGCCGGGGACTCAGAGCTGAGGGAGAGGAGGAGCCGCGGGGACATCGCAGGTGAAGAGGGAAGGGAGGGGCCGCCGGGACTCAGGTGAGGGTGGAGGGAGGGCCGCCGGGGCACTCCCAGGTGACGGGGGAGGGGGGACGAGGGCATAGCCGGGGCTCGAGGTGTGGAAGGGGGGGGAGCGCGGGGTGAGGGAGGGCCCGCCGCGACTCAGGATGAGTTGGGGGGATGAGGGACGGCCCCGGGACTACAGGTGAGGGGAGGGAGGCCGCCGGTGACCAGAGTGACGGGAGAGGAGGGCCGCGGTGAGTAACTCAGGTAGAGGGGGAGGGAGAGCCGTCCGGACATCAGTGAAGGGGGAGGGAGGCCGCCGGGGAACTGACAGTAGGGAGGGAAGGACCGCCGCCGGGCGCGACTCAGGTACGCGCGGGCGTGAAGGAGGCACGGCGGAGAGAGAGAGAGAACATTCCAGGGTGCACCGTGTCGGGAGGGGGTGAGGCGAGCGGGCCCGCCGCGGAAGAACGATCAGGTGAGGGGGGGGCTGCCGGGACCTCGATGTGTGGGGGGGGGGGTGAGAGAGGTGCGGACCGCCGGGGACTCAGATGAGGGGGGGGGTTAGGGAGGCGCCGGCGTGACTCCAGGTAGGGGGAGGGAGGCCGCCGGACTCAGTGAGGGGGGAGGAGGGCCCGCCGGGACTCAGCTGGGAAAGGGGGGACAGGGAGGCCGGCCGGGGACTGCAGGGGGTGAGGGAGGGAGGCTTCGGGGACTCCGAGGTGGGGGGGGGGTGAGAGAGGCTGAGGGAGGCCGCGGGGTCGACTCAGGTGAGTGTGGGGCGTGGGTAGGGAGGGCGGGCCGCCGGGGGACCAGGTGAGGGGCCACAGGTGATGGGGCGCAAACGGGAGGAGGATCGCAGGTGACACTGGGCAAATAGGGGGCGTCTGGCAGCCATACAATAGTGAAACGGGCTGACACTGCTGCCTCCTGCACGGGCCCTGGGTTTCAGGTGTGCGATGCCTGGCAGCGAGAGGCACAGGAGGCCAAGGAACGTGCCCGCGTGGCCGATAGTGACCGACAGCTGGCGCTGCAGAAGAAGGAGGAGGTAGAGGCGCAGGTGAAGCAGCTGCAGGAGGAGCTGGAGGGCCTGGGCGTAGCCTCCACACTGCCGGGGCTGCGGGGCTGCGGGGACATCGGCACCATTCCCCTGCCTAAGCTGCACTCGCTGCAGAGTCAGCTGCGCCTGGACCTGGAGGCGGTGGATGGCGTGAGTCCTGCTCGGGGCGGGGTGAGGGCTAGCCTGTCTGCAGGGCTGCTGTCCCTGTCTGCGGAGGGCCCTGGCTGGTGCGGTGTTCCTTCCCCCCCGCCCCTCGGGTCTGCTCTGGGCCTGGGGAGGAGGGGATGGTGCCCCGCCCCAGCACAGACCCCCTGAGACCTCCTTGCCTGTCTCCCTAGGAGCCGCCTCTCCTGTCAGGCTGGCCCTTGCCCTTTCACCCCTCCCTCTTACCAGCGAATGCCAGGCTGCACCCTCCACAGGGAAGGCGGCCCCATCCCTCCCTGTTCACAGCTGCAACCCTCACACATGCTGCCTCCACTTGAGCATGTCTCTCCTCACCTCGCCTGTGAAGGGTGGCCTCTCGGCCTAACTGCTCTGGGCCATTGTGTGCTGCGTAGCTCACACCCTGGGCACCCAGCCGCCAGGGCCCTCAGGGGCCTGTCCTGTCCGGCCACTGCCGTATCTGTGGTGGCCCCCGGGGGCCGTGCTCTGCCCAGGGCTCGAGACAGAGCATTCCTGCCACCCCGCAGCTGCCTTCTCCCTGAGGTGGCCCTGGCTGGGGGCATCTCCCTGACCCTGTCTCTGTAGCTGGTGGCCGGGTGGCCTGAGATGCCGAGTTCTGCCCAGAAGGCCCTGCGGCTCCCCAGCTGGTCCAGCCTGGGCAGGGGCCTCCTGACCCCGTTACTGTTCTGGCCCTGCAGGTGATCTTCCAGCTCCGCGCCAAGCAGTGCGTGGCCTGCCGGGAGCGGGCCCACGGTGCCGTCCTGCGGCCCTGCCAGCACCGCGTCCTCTGTGAACCGTGTGCGGCCGCCGCACCCGAGTGCCCCTACTGCAAGGGCCAGCCCCTGCGGTGGTGACCTCAGCGGGGACAGCCACCTCCTGCTGGGCACCCTGGCTCCAGTGCTCGTAAACACAGACACATCGTCACTCACCTCTGGTGCCACCGATGTGAGGACCGAGGCTGGGAGCCCCGCCCGCGCTCAGCCGTTATCATGAGGCTGGGAGCCCCCGCCTGGGCTCGGCCGGACAGCTTTCCTGTCACACGTTGTCACCTATCTAGTCCTACCAACGGTTTCAAGGTATTTTCCTCAAAAACCTTAAAGGCAAACCCACAGAACCCGCCTGCCTGTCCTCGAGGGGCCTGGTGCCTCAGGGGTCCGCGTGGCGCTGTGATCACAGCAGTTTGTGGTCCTGACACTCCTGTGACTGGACCACTGGGAGCTGGGGTCTTTCAAAGCACTTTGTAAACCGAGGAATTTAGAGGTTATAAATTGCTCTAAGCTGCTTTCTATGTTGTTTTTTAAATATGCGATAATATGAAGCTTTATATGTGTACTGTGAACTTAAATATTTCATATCAGTTTATTGTCAATTCATAGTATGCTGAATATATTAGATTTCATATTCTGAAACTAGTACTTATGAAATGAGCGTTTATCTAGTAGTAAGACCTAGGATTTTTACATTTTCCCATTAAGTGCATAGTATTTATAAGCAGAGTGATTATGGATTTAGATGTTTTAACTTGATGGAAGGAGCTCGTTTTCCCGAGCCCGTGTGCGCACAAGGCACTAGGGTTGATATTCCAGCCTCGTGACGTGGGAGCAGGAGAGCTCCGCCCTGCATTTCTGTGATCCGTGGCCACTTTTCCTATGCGCCTGTGCCTTGCTAAACAAGTGAAGGAACATCATTGGTTTTGTTTTCTCCCTTGAACCTCTGAAAGACAGTTTGCTACTAACGAAAAATGCAGCAGAAGGGATCAGACATCAGAGGTTTTAGAATTACTTTTTTAAGCAGCTGTCTTCTGGCCGGGCACGGTGGCTCACGCCTGTGATCCCAGCACTTCGGGAGGCTGAGGCGGGTGGATCACCTAAGGTCAGGAGTTTGAGACCAACCTGGCTAACATGGTGAAACCCTGTCTCTACTAAAAATACAAAAATTAGCCGGGCGTGGTGGCGGGCGCCTGTAGTCCCAGCTACTCGGGGGGCTGAGGTAGGAGAATCGCTTGAACCCGGGAGGCAGAGGTTGCAGTGAGCCAGGATCACGCCACTGCACTCCAGCCTGGGTGACAGAGTGAGACTCTGGCTCAAAAAAAAAAAAGAAAAGCTGTCTTCTGATTACTTAGATCTGTCCTAGGCAATGGTGCTTTGTAGCTCCTTGGAGACATCGCTGGGCGTCCTGGTGGGGGTCAGGCAGTGAACTAGGAGAGTGGCTGGCTCCCCAGCCCCTGTGGCCACCCCCGTCCTGCTTGTGTGGGAGACGCTCGAGCCGTGGTGTGCGCCAGGGTGCCGGGTGTATGAGAGTCACCTGACCCGTACTGCCAGTTAGTATCGGAGCTCATCCATGTGGCCAGCGAGGTCACACCAGGACCCAGTCACAGCCTCTTAGTGGCCTGGCGCACACGGGGGAAGTGGCCCCCCAAGGTCCCGGCTCTGCTGCGTCCCCTGGCCTGTCTGCCCTGGAGCGACAGAGTGGCTTCCGGCCGCAGCAGAAACGCGACTGAGAACGCGTTCCCGCGATGACCTGACCCTTCTGCTCAGGGCTGGGACTGTCCCTAGGAGTTGAGGAGCAGGAACAGGCGTCTGTGATTTACGGTGACCTGGCTCTCTGTGGGCCATGTGGGTTGTGAGGGCACAAGAGCAGGCAGCAGCATCGACGTGTTCCTCCCTGCCCGTGGCTTTGCCAAAGACTTTTAATAGCATTTTTTAAAAGTGCAAAACGTCTAGGTAAAAAATTTTTATCAGTGACCAAATTAGAATGTATTTAATATAGTAGGAGGTTTAAGAACTTTTTTAACGTAAGACAAACTGATAGCAACATTCTATCATTTTAAAGGAAGTGGATCCGTGACATTCTGCAGCTAGTCCACTACTCCAGGTAACTATCGACTTGGTTTTAGTGAATCTATTTTGTTTTTAATTATAGTGATGATTTATTAGCTCAGTATCTAGAAATTACGTATATTTTGTGCTACTGTCATCAATGTGTAAAATCCTCTGTTTTTATTATTTATGCACTTGGTTCCCATTTCGGGCCTCTGGTCTTTTCTGGGATATGGTGTCTGCCCAGACGTCTCCCGGTTGTCGGGAGCAGCTGAGCGCTAGTCTGCCGGCTGCTCTGCTCTTTCTGGGAACAACGTGGCGTCTGCCCCTCAGGGCATCTCCATGGATCAGCTTCTGGGGTGGTGGAGCTGGGAGCCCCAGGGGTTGGGGGACGGCGGAGACACCTGCTCCCCCATATTTGTGCTGGCTCTGAGGACAGGTGAGCAGTGGGAAGACCAAAGAATGGCTGGCGGGGCTGCCAGGATTGGAAATGGAGGCAAGACCCTGGGGCTGCCTGTCCTGGGCCTTCCTCACCCGTTTCGGTGGCCGAGGCACACAGCAGTGGCTGGAAGGTGCCCCGTGGAGGCGGGCCCAGCGGCTCCCACCTGTGGCCGTGGCCGGCACTGGACATAGGAGCCGGGTAGTGGCCGGTTCTGTGTGTGCTTGTTGCCTGTCGTCTGTAACTCTAGTGTTCAACATTAGCCGTGAAACAGTGACGTGTGTAACTGTGGTCAGCAGACCTTGTTCCGTGTGGACGCGTCATGTGGATTCATTTCTGGAAGCCTCGATCTGTATGTTTGAGTATTTAGATGAGAGTGTTGTTTGAGTGGAATTTTAACCCGGAAGGTAGGATTTATAATCATTTACTTGTAGTGAACTGTTTAACACTTGTTAAATTTTTTTACACTATAGCATTTATGCAATGGTTTACAGAATTCATGGAATTATTTTTATCAGTATGGGAATTAATTAAAACCTTGAATCTTTGTTTTGTCTGCTTCTCTGAGCACAAGCCTGGCCAGCTGGTCCCTGGGGGTCCTACCAGCCAATCTCCAGGGCTCTCGGCCGTGTCCACCTCTGCCTTCCCACCACAGGGTCACAAACTCCCACGCAGTCCTGGGTCACCCCGCAGCTGCTCTGGAGGCTTGGCTCTGGTTGTCGTGTGGCCCAAGTGCTCCAAGCTGGACGTTTCTGCCAAAACACCAGGTGGCCGGTCCTCACCTGGACCCACAGGTGGTGGGTGCGATGGTGGCCTGGCCCCCTCCCCACAGGTGACTTACCTGTGGGCCTCCTATAGGGGATGCCATGCTGGGTGAGCAAACCTTGTAGCCTTTTGATCTCCTTTGACAGTTCTTTATGAGCCTACAACACGAAGTTCAAGGGAAAGGCTGGGGTGGGGGTGGGGCGGGAGGCTACTGTGTGCTGCCACCTGCCCCCGGTACGGCACCTTTCTGCAGTTTTCCAGGGTCTCCAGCCCCAAGCTGTCAGGACCTCCCTCCAACTTGGTGGGTTCGTTTTCTTCTGGGGCCTTGAAGTAGCCAGCGTCCTCAAACAGTGTCCGCAGCAACTTCTCATGGCCCTGAAGATAGAGGATGCAGGGGCAGCACCCAGCTCCCAGCCGGGCCCGCCAGGGGCAACCCCGAGCATATGCTTACCTGGGCGGTGATCAGCTTGTCGGCCAGGTCCTGCTCCACCTGGTCCCACCGCCGCTGGAGGGCCTCTGGCAGGGTCGGGTACACTGAGGGCCCAAGAGAAGCCAGACTCAGTTGTGCTCCATGTCCCAACCCTGGCCCCCACCACTGCAGGGCTACGTGCATGGCTGACCCCACCGGCCCCCACTGCGTCCCGCACCCCTACCTAGCAAGGCGTGGGGGTGGCAGACGAGGGGGGTCTCGAACGTCAGTGCATAGACACAGGTGCTCGGCTCGGACACGTGGGCCAGCCGGTTGCTTTTTCCACACGCCAGCTCCACCTGGGGAGGGCACGCCGGTGGGTGTGTTGCAGAGGCTGGGGCCCCTCGTCCCAGGCTCCCGTCTGAGGCCCCACCTTGCTCTGCCGGCTCCGGGAACGGCAGGCATCACCATCCCTCATCCACATGCCTGTGAAGGTGTTGTTGGCGATCTCCCACTCGTGCCAGATGCTGCGGGGACATGGGCACGGCCCATGAGGCCGGGCTGGGGAGCCGTGCTGCTGCTTTGGGATCCCTGGCCCGGCCCCGCTCACCCGAGGACCCCGCTGTAGGCGTTCCAGCGGAAGGTCTGCTCGTGCTGGGTCACGTTGTGGAATGGGCAGAACTCGTACTTGTACCTGGGGACACAGGTGGCATGAGGGGGGTCCCCAGGCTGCGCCCCAGCCCACCCTCGCACCCCCCCTGCACTCACGTGGACTCCACCAGGCTGAAGCACTTGCCCGAGAGTCGGAAGAGATGCGCCGGCCCTGGAAGAGACTCACACTGATCCCCAGGCTCCGTGCACAGAACCTGTTTGCAAAGACTGGCAGAGGCTGTTTTCAAAGGACCAGTTTTTAACAAAAAGCACAAGATGTTCAAAGAAACAGGAAAACAGGTCCCATTCAATGGAAGAAACTGACAAAACCGAGAATTCTAACAGCCCTTTAAAAATGAGAGTTCAGGCTTGGTATCGTGGCTCACACCTGTCATCTCAGCACTTTGGGAGGCCAGGGCGGGAAGATCGCTTGTGGCCAGGAGTACGAGACCAGTACAGGCAACAATGCGAGACCCCCGTGTCTACACTAAAAACACACACAAAAAACTAGCTGGGTGTGGTGGTGTGTACCTGTAGTCCCACCTACTCGGGAGGCTGAGGCAGGAGAATTGCTTGAACCCGGGAAGCGGAGGTTGCAGTGAGCTGAGATGGTACCACTGCACTCCAGCCTGCATGACAGAGCAAGACCCTGTCTCCAAAAAAACAAAAAAAAAAGACATTCCCAGATAAAAGCTTCAGGAGTTGGCTACCTGCAGGCCCATGTGCCCCGCAGGGAAGTGAGTAGACAGCAGCTCAGCTGGGAGACGACGAAGGGCCCTAGTACAGGGGTAAATTAAATGCCAGTTACCTTTCTAGCTGTGGTCTGTGTATCTACAGAACTTAAACCAGTGGTCCCCAATATTTTTGGTAGCAGGGACTGGTTTCATGGAAGGCAGTTTTTCTATCAGCCAGGGATGGGGATGGGTGGTTTTGGGATGAAACTGTTCCACCTCACCTCATCAGGCATCAGGTTTTTTTTTTCTTTTTGAGACAGTCTCATTCTGTAACCCAAGCTAAAGTGCAATGGCACGATCTCGGCTCATTGCAACCTCTGCCTCCTGGGTTCAAGTGATTCCCCTGCCTCAGCCTCCAGAGTAGCTGGGATCCCAGGCACGCACCACCACACCCGGCTAATTTTTGTATTTTCAGCAAAGATGGGGTTTCACTATGTTGGCCAGGCTGGTATGAACTCTGGACCTCCAGATCCGTCCACCTTGGCCTCCCAAGTGCTGGGATTACAGGCGTGAGCCACTGCGCCCCGCCTGAAAGACTAACTTTTAAAGACATAGCCTGAAAGACTAACTTTTAAAGACATAAACAGGTTGAAAGTGAAGGTATGGAGAAGTATTCATGTAAACAGCCAAAAGAGAGCTGGAGTGGCTGAAACTACAAGAGACAAATACGTTATATATTGACACAAGGATCCATGTGCCAAGACACCACAATTATCCATGTACAAACGTTGCCACCCACTACATAAGGCTGACAGGAGACATCCGTACCCTTTATTTATTTATTTATTTATTTATTTTGAGATGGAGTCTAGTATTGTCACCAGGCTGGAGTGCAATGGGACGATCTCGGCTCTCTGCAACCTCCACCTCTGGGTTCAACCAGTTTTCCCGCCTCAACCTCCCCAGTAGCTAGGATTACAGATGCCCACCACCACGGCTACCTCTGGGTTCAACCAGTTTTCCTGCCTCAACCTCCCCAGTAGCTAGGATTACAGATGCCCACCACCACGGCTGGCTAATTTTTGTATTTTTGTACAGACAGGGTTTCTCCATGTTGGCCAGGCTGGTCTTGAACTCCTGACCTCAGGTGATCCACCTGCCTCAGCCTCCTAAAGTGCTGGGATTACAGGCGTGAGCCCCCACGCCCGCCCTGGATTTAATATTTTTAAGATGACTACCACGCATAGTGATGTGCAGATTCAATGCAACACCATCC